TCCACCTAGCAATTTGTTTCCATCAGCGGCACTGATGGAAACCACTTTACATTTCTTATTTAAGCTGACAGCTTCACGCTCTCCTTCCTTCCTTTTTTCCTTCCTTCCTTCCTTGATCGCGGTATATCAATAAGCCATTGAATTCGTTTCTGGTATAATCACAAGTTCACGATCTCCCTTCCGTGTGCGCCCTGCATAATTATTTATTTAGCAAATTTATAGAGCTGCCTTTTTACAAAAAAGGGACGCTGGGTGGCTGGCAAGCACAGTAACAATTAAAAGCAGGGCGCAATCAAGAAGCATCAAACAAAAAATGTGTAATATATTTATACATGTTACAGCTGGTCTCACCTCATTAGATCTAACACAGACCAAAGGACCATCTTTAAGAAAAAAAAATGCACCGGCAGTGCATAAACTCAGCTCAGCTTAGAAGCCGAGGAGCTGAGCCGATTTACTGGCAACTGTACAAGACGGTGGTATTGGCTTGTCTTAAAAATGGGGATTAGGGTAATATTCGTAGAAGTAGTAAAATTTAGTAGTATCCCAAATAGGGATACGCATATATAGAGAGACCAATTGGAGATGTTTTGTACAAGCAATTCAGATGGTTCAGGTGAACTGCGAGACTCAGCTGCTGATTGAAATATAGGTCAAGCATGCTATGTAAGCGCCATGCTTGGTCAAAACAAACACTATATAATTTTTATTTATTTGGATTGCAAATGCTTTGCATTTAAAGCAGCCTTCCTCAGCCCACAGTTGTGCTTGCTATATGCAGTGAGAGTTGCGATCCGGGATATCTCCCAAGCATCAGATTAGAGAAGGCCCTGGGTAACAGAATAACAGAGTTGGAAGGGATCTTGGAGGTATTCTAGTCCAGCTCCCGGCTCAAGCAGGAGACCCTATGCCAGTGGTGGTGAACCTATGGCACGCGTGCCAGAGGCAGCACTCAGAGCCCTCTCTGTGGGCACGTGCGCCATGCCCCAGAGATGGCAACTGTCCCTCTTCAACCAGCCGCCTGCTAACTAGCCGAGGTCCCACGTGGCCAGATGCATCTCGGTATGGCTGGTTTCCCTCCGCCCCATCCCGTCCCTCCTGGCCTTGCATGCTCTCCTTTTCCCAGCATGACCAACTGCATTGCCTCCTCAGCTGTCAGCCGGCCATCCATCTCAGAGGCGGCTTCTTTGAACTGCTGGCGGTGGGCTGCAGAGTTCCAGAGTGTGCCAGTCAAAGGGCCAGCAGGCTGTGGCTTCTGACGGACACCGTTGGCCCCCATGCACTTGCTGGCCTCTGTGTGTGGGGGCCAACGGTGCCAGGCAGCAGCCACCTTGGCCCTTGCCTTGCCCCATGGCAATGGCATCCCCGCCCTGCCATGCCTCACCCCGCAGGACGAGCCTCCTGCCTATTGCCCCACCTACCAGAGACCCCCTGGATCTCCCCCAGCCCTGCCCACACCCCACAGGCGTCCCTCCCCACGAGCAACATTGAGGTGACCACACCCACCTTGGCCACACCCACCCAATCTGCCATGACCACCTCAGTGGGCCACGCCCATCTGGCATCCAGTGATAAATAAGTAGGTTTTGGATTGCAGTTTGGGCACTCGGTCTCTAAAAGGTTCGCCATCACTGCCCTATTGCCATTTCAGACAAATGTTTGCCCAATCTATTCTTAAAAAACGCCAGTGTTGGAGCACCCATAACTTCTGGAGGCAAGTTGTTCCACTGATCGATCTAACTGTCTGGAGATTTCTCCTTGGTTCTAGGTTAGTGATGGCGAACCTTTTAGAGACCGAGTGCCCAAACTGCAACCCAAAACCCACTTATGTATTGTCAGGTGCTGGGTGGGTGTGGCCCATTGGGTGGGTGTGGCTGTGGTAGTAACGGCAGACTGTGTGGGACTAAAAAGTTCAATCAATCAATTCCAACTTTGCAAGATCTTTTTTTTCCTGCGAGAAGTTGAAATTGATTGATTGATTAAACCTTTTTTTTTTTTGCACACGGTGGCAGAGGCCTAAAGCGAAAAAGTTTTATAAAACCCAGCTGAAGGCCTAGGACTGGGGGGATGGCGCGCGTGCCAACCGGAAGGGCTCTGTGTGCCACCTGTGGCACCCATGCCATAGGTTCGCCACCACAGTTCTAGGTTGCTTCTCTCCTTGATTAGTTGTGGTTAGCCATGATTTGCTGAATAAATCAGAACTGATTCGGTTCACATGAACTGAAGCCACTTGCTTGCAAGCCACACTGGCTGAAAACTCAGAAAAATGTGAACCCAACAGTTAAACCAAACCATGTTGTGGAGATGAAGGAGAGCGTTGGGTTGTTTTGACGCTTATCTGAAAATGGCCCAATTCCATCCTGGTACTCAGCAGTCAAAGGGGAGAGATTTACAATCTCCAAAAGACATAAAAACAGTCCTAAAAGCTCCATGAAGCCAATATCTCAATTGAAAATCAATATCCTGCACTGTTTATCCATCTTTAAAATGTTTCTCCTTAGCCTGGAGTGCTGCAAGTCCATCAAGAAGTCTTATATAAATTTAGTCATAGGAATTATTTCCCCCCCCCCACTTTTCTTCTGGGATACGAACAATAATGATAACCTCGGACCAATCTCTTTGTTGCCCAAGGAGAAGATATCTTTCACAAAATGTATATCACAGCTTGTCTGGAACCGCACCATTACAATTTGGCCTTTAGAAGTTTCCGATAGAAGAGAAAATATTTTTAGCTCAGGACTGAACTGTGGCATCCTGGGTGCTCTCTGAGCTGGGTGGTTTTCTTGCAGACGTTTCATGACCCAACTAGGTAACATCATCAGTGCTAGAAGGGAGGAGGGAGGCAGAGTGGAGGAGGAGGAAAAGGAGAATGGGGTTCTTGGCTGCTTCTGAGCTTGGTTGTTTTCTTGCAGATGTTTCATGACCCAACGAGGTAGCACCATCAGTGCAAGAAGGGAGTGAGGTTTGTGGGGAGGAGCATAGCCAGCCGCACCAACAGGCTGAAGAACAGTTTCTACCCATAGGGGCTGTCAGACTCCTGAATGGAAAATAACTCCATGTAGGATAGACTTGCGGGGCAGGCGCACTGCGCAATAAGTTCACATGGTGCAATAAGATTGTGTGAGTTGTGATGGGGGAGTGCATGAAGGGAGGCTCAGCCAATCTCATTGTACTCATGTTGTACTTTGACAATAAAGGAGTTGGAATTTGGAGGAGGAGGAGGAGGAGGAGGAGGAGGAGGAGGAAGAAGAAGAAGAAGAAGAAGAAGAAGAAGAAGAAGAAGAAGAAGAAGAAGAAGAAGAAGAAGAAGAAGAAGAAGAAGAAGAAGAAGAAGAAGAAGAAGAAGAAGAAGAAGAAGAAGAAGAAGAAGAAGAAGAAGAAGAAGAAGAAGAAGAAGAAGAAGAAGAAGAAGAAGAAGAAGAAGAAGAAGAAGAAGAAGAAGAAGAAGAAGAAGAAGAAGAAGAAGAAGAAGAAGAAGAAGAAGAAGAAGAAGAAGACGACGACTGTGGGGTCCTTGGTGCTCTCTGAGCCTGGTTGTTTTCTTGCAGATGTTTTATGACCCAACTAAGGATACATCATCAGTGCTAGAAGGGAGTGGGGTTTGCATGGAGATGGAGGAGGAGTAGAAGTAGGAGTAGGAGGAAGAGGAAGAGGAGGAGGAGGAGGAAGAAGAAGAAGAAGACTGTGGGGTCCTTGGTGCTCTCTGAGCTTGGTTGTTTTCTTGCAGGGTGTTTCATGACCCAACTAGATAACACTATCAGTGCAAGAAGGGAGTGAGGTTTGTGGGGAGGAGGAGGCTGAGGAGGAGGAGGGGGAGGAGGAGGAGGAAGAAGAAGAGGAGGAGGATAGGAAGGAGAATTTACTCTCAGTTGACCTCAGAAGGTGAGAAGCTCTTCCTCCTCCAGGGAACCCAGGTCTTGACGAGGGCCACCAAGCCGGGAGACAAGTCCCACCTCCAAGCCCGAAGCAGAAGGACTTCTCCTAAGGGCAGAGGATTGGACTTTCCAGACCGGCGACTCGGCGCCCAGGGCTCCAAAGAGAGAGTGGGCGAGGGTCTCCAAGGCTAAACCGTCGCACCCACCCCTGGCCAAGCCCCTAGCCCCTATCCCCAAATAGCCAGACGCCTCCAGCCTTCCTGCTAGGCAGACCACCCCCAGCACCAGCCCCTCCGCACCCAGCCCTCGTCCTACCCTGCCGGGCCGCCCGCTGGTTGGAAGGGGACCCTTTCTGGAGCCCTCCCGCCCCCTCCCCAGGCAGAGGGCTCCCTCCCGGGAGGCGGGGAGAGCGCGGGGACGACGCCTCCGCGGCAGGGACCGCCGCCGCCGCCGCCTGCACTTTGCTGACACCGACGATTCCCAGTTGCGCACCGCCCGCTCGTCCTTGAGCCGGAGCAGACTCGGGCGCCGCCGAGCGAAGCGGCGAGAGCGCGCCGGGACGTTGGCCGGGAGCCGGGCGCCGCGGAAGGAAGGAAGGAAGGAAGGAAGGAAGGAAGGAAGGAAGGAAGGAAGGAAGGAAGGAAGGAAGGAAGGAAGGAAGGAAGGAAGGAAGGAAGGAAGGAAGGAAGGAAGGAAGGTCTGACCGGGAGCCCCGTCCTGGCGCTCAGCCGCGCCTCGACGGAGGCAGAGCCGTCGGACGGACGGGCGCGCCTCGACGGAGGCAGAGCCGTCGGACGGACGGGCGGACCGGCTCTGCTCCCCGGCCAGGGAACGCTGAACGGGACGCTGGAAAAGGCGTGGGGGTCGGCTCGCGCCCTCTCCCCGGCTTCGTCCGTCATACCTGCCTCCCCTCGTTGCTGGACGGCTGGAGGAACCGAAGCCGCGCCAGGATGAAGCCGAGAAGGCTACGGAAGGTGCAGGCGGCCGGCGAGACGCAGCGGGCGGAAAGTCGGGCTCCCCACCGCCTTCCAGGCAGAGCGAAGCGCCGGAGATCCGCCGGAGCTTCGGGCCGCTTCCCGGTTGAGTCTTTCGCTTGAGGCGTCTTGGCGCGGGTAGGGTCCTCAGCGAGACTCTTCTCCCTGGGGTCTGAGAGATGCAGCTGGGAGATGCCGAGCCGGGGGGAACCTCTTCCTTGACCGAGGGTCCTCTGATGATGGCCCAAAGGGTGAGTTCTGGAGCAGCGGAGGGGGCCACGGCCGCCCTCCTCCCCACCGGACCCCCGGCCGTCCAGTCCAGGATGGAGAACTTCAGGAAGGTGAAGAGCTCCGAGCAAGGCAGCCCCTTGCCCTTCTCTGACTTGCAGCCCCACGTGGTGGAGATGAAGGTGAAGGAGGGCAGCAAGATCCGGAACTTGATGGGCTTCGCCATGGCCAAGATGGAGAAGGAGGACATCCGTCAGATTGTCTTCAGCGGCTGCGGACGGGCGGTCACCAAAACCATCACCTGCGTGGAGATCATGAAGAGGAAGTTGGGCGGTCTCCACCAGGTCACCAGGCTCCAATACCGGACCTTGGTGGAAGTGTGGGAGAACCAAGGGCCAAGGGCGGAAGGACCCCCTGAACACCTCACCGTCCACAAGAATGTGCCCTCCATCTACATCCTCTTGTCCAAGGACTTGGTGGACCCCAATCAGATGGGCTACCAAGCTCCCAGCCCTTCCGGCAGCGTCTGGGCTGAGAGCAGGCTCCCCCCCAAGGCAACCAAGAGAAGGCTGATTGCGCCCCACGAAGAGGACTAGCCCAGCCGTGCAGCCCAACAACAAGAACTCTGGGAGGACGTGACTTTGGGATTTTGACTCAGTTGTGTGTTCCTTCAGCCTTCGGCGAACGTGAAAAGAATAATCCAAGCCACACGCCAGCCTTACAAGGACAACCGGTTGAATTTGCAATTTACATTTAGAGACACGTTGGAAAGAGAAGGTGGGTTGCAAATAGAGCTGGTATCACTTCTGACTTAACACCTCAGCTTGCATTGAACTCACGTACAGAATAGCAGAGCTGGAAGGGACTGTGGAGGTCTTCTAGTCCAACCCCCTGCTCAGGCAGGAAACTTTAAACCAGACATGTCAAACACAAGGCCCAGGGGGCGGGATGCGGCCCGCGAAGTGGTTTCATGTGGCCCACGAAGCCATCTTGGAAATAGTGAGGGAACGGCCCCTGCTGCCATGGCCCTGGCCCAGGCCAGCCGGGAGCCAATGTACAATTTTGTGGTGGCCATCTTGGCACTTGCCCCGGTGGACCATGCCTTGGCACTTGCCCCATCCCACTTCCTTCTGCCAGAGACCCTCAGATCTGTCCCAATCCTGCCCAGGCCCCCACAGGCACCCTTGATGTGAACGATGTAGAACTGGCCACACCCATGCAGTAGGCCACACCCTCTCCATCCATGTCTACCCAGTAGGCTGCACCCACTCTGGCCACACCCACCTGCCCCCCCAGGGCAACCGCAATGCTGATGCGGCCCTCGGTGAAATTGACACTCCTGCTTTAAACCATTTCAGACAAGTCCAGTCCCTTCTTGATAGCCTCCAATGATGAGGCACCCACAACTTCTGAGGGGAAAGCTCCTCCACTGGTTAATTGATTTGGGATTATAGAATTACAGAATAAACAGAGTTGGAAGGGACCTTGGAGGTCTTCCAGCCCAACCCCCTGCTGAAGCACAGGCGCAAGGAAAACGTAGCTTGATCCAACTGTTATGTTTTCCCCAGTCCTGACTTGGTTGTCTGAGTGATTTAAACCCCATGGAATGTATACTACTTTGATTTGGATGGTGAACAAAGTCAAATGTAGGTAGACCATGGATGTGAGATAGAGCTGAGATGGAGGGCAGGGTGGAGGGAGGGGGAAGAGTCTCTTTATTTTGCAGATGCCCACAGCAGAATGACAGAGTGGCTAAAGAAGGAAACACTGGGGGTACCCAATGCTCAAGAGCCATAGTTAGCACATATGAGAAGAGTTGATGCAAGGGAGATTCCTTTCATCGCACAGCAGTCAGAGGGGAAAACATTTTGCAGAAATTTGCTACTTTTTGTTCCTATGGAAAGTTGCATGAATACATTGTCCATGACACAATACAATATATTGTACATGTCTAAAGGACTTATTGGGTGTTTCTCCTCTTGTGGTTGACACAAGAGGAGATTCACACATTGTGGGTAATGGCAGTGTTTTCTTTGGGTTGGGCTCAGGGGGTTCGGTAAACCGTGGTTTGTAAAACAGGGGTTCAGATTTGGACTCTTCTGCACAGCCCACCGGTTGCCGTTGGATCAGTAAAGTTTGATTGAACAAGCCATGATTGAATGTACCTTACCAAATTATTTTTCTTTTGGGGGGGGGCATTTCTTTGTTTGGGGAATGGCTGAGAAGGGACTGATCATTAAGCCAGCTATCAGGGAAAACAACCACGGAGGTTCCCCCATCCGTGCTTTTTTCATCATGCAGTTCCATCTTCTTTAGCTGCTGGGCTCCAGAATCTTTTTATTTATTTATTTATGAGACTTATATACCGCTTTAAGTGTGAGCACTCTCTAAGCGGTGTACACCAGTAAGCCATGTATATATACATATATTTACATTGCCCCCAACAATCTGGGTCCTCATTTTACCTACCCCGGAAGGATGGAAGGCTGAGTCAACCTTGAGCCGGTGAGATTTGAACCGCTGACCTGCTGAACACAGTCAGCTAAAGTGGCCTGCAGGACTGCACTCTAACTGCTGCGCCACCTCGGCTCGAATTGGATAACCTTTTGTCTAAAATGGTATAGGGTTTCCTGCTTGAGCAGGGGGTCAGACTAAATGACCTGCAGGGTCCCTTCCAACTCTGTTATTCTGTTAACATCATCAAGGAGAAGAAAAGTTCTTTGACCTGCAGGCAGGACTCCATTCTTGCTGTCGTGAAGGACCCCAAGGAAACACCATGATTTGGTCGGGGGGAATTCTGGGGGTTGAGGTCCACTCAGCTTAAACTCACAGAGATTGAGAAATTCTGCACCCAGGGCTCTCTTGCTCAACCCTGAGATGACCAGATTTTTATCTTTATGAACGTCTGAGAGAAGTCAATGACAACAGAATTAAGACCAATATGACCAATGTCAATCTTCTAGAGATGTTGGGTGCTCACTCAGAGCTCAGCGAAGGACAAATCTCCAGGTCACTTAAGGATGATGATGTGGTCCATTCAGCTGTGTCCGATTCTTGACTCTGTGGGCCAGGTCTCTCCACATCTTCTGACGTTGCACTCCTTCTTTGAATTGTTCTGTGCTCTGGATGGTGCCAGCTTTGATGGCATCCAGTCACTTTGTTCTTTGATGTCACTGAATACCTGACCCCAGTGGAGCAGGGAACCTCCCCAAGCTCCCCAGTTGAAGGCCACTTCCCAGCTTGCAGGGATAGGGCACTGAGAAGCCAACATTGAGATGTTTGGGTTGTCAGGAAGAATACAGGCCCTGCTGAAGTCACACCTTCATCACCAGCTGTTGGGGTTATTAATGGCCAGTTCTAAGGCTACAGCCCGGTGATTTCTTTTGAGTGAGGCCCAGAAAGAGACAGATGGACCTATTTTGCTCTTCTCGTCCATGTCAGGCCTCAGATTAGAAAGATGCAAGGCAGGGACAGGAAGCTATTAAATATTTGAAGCCTTTGTGCTCTTCCTAGGATTCATCTCTGCGCCTTCAGGGTTTCGTTTATGGTGGGACTGCAGCTTTCCTTTGCATGGGGTGAAAAAGCACCTGGTACCAGGAGTTGGTCAAAATGATTAATGGGTTACCACCAACCACTAGATTATTTTTGCAAACAGGGGATGCTCTCCTTAGGAGCTGTGGGGTACAAAGATACAGATACTGTGAAATCGTTAATGGGGCATGATTTGAGGATTGATGGATTGAACAATCTACCCCATTTCTTTCTCTTTTCTTTTAAGAACACATTAAATGAGCACACAATGCATCTTGGTCAATGGAATGAGCCATTTTGACTCATCACCAGGAGGGAACAATGCCAGCATTATTAGCATTTTTGCTATTCAATTTTAGCAAAATAATCCTAGAGGTTGGGGAGCAGGCCAGGGTTATCGCCTGGTGCCCTGGACCTAAAGGTAAAAGAATTGGTTATGCTTTATTCCTTAGCCCTTATTTATTCCTTATTCTGAGGTCTTCTTTTCTCCTTCCTGATGTGTTTATGGTGCTTCTGTCTGAAAAGCTTTTAAAGCTTGCCAGGCCTCGAGCAAATATCATAAAAGTGAGACAATACCAGGACAGAGACTTTATAAGGTTACATGAGCATTTCAGAAGCAGATGAAAAAAAAAATCCATTAAAAGCAATCTTTCTTGGAGACAAATAATGTGTCAGTTGGGATATAAAAAAATATGCTGGGTTCACCACTACAGAAATGAGAAGAAATATTCGCTCTTCGTTGGCCTTTGAATGATTCTATACACCGGCTGGGTCCGTACAAATAATGGGACTTGCTGGCTTTTGGCTTATTCTCATGTCCGAATCCAGTCAAATAGATTATTTTGCAGATTTGGGTTGAATAAAGCCATCAATTAGAGGTAAACTTAAATCACAGAAGAAATCGAAGCCCTGAAGGGTTTGGTGCAATCCTGACCACAGTTGGGTTTAGAATTAGTTGTGTGGACCCAGACATTTTTTTATTACTTATCTATTATTTATATCCCACCTTTAATTTTATAAATAACTCAAGGCGATGAGCATACCTAATGGTCCTTTCTCCTCCTATTTTCCCCATAATGACAAGGTGAGCTGGGTTGGGCTGAGGGGGAGTGACTGTCCCAAGGTTGCCCAGCCAGTTTTTAGGCCCAAGGCAGGACTAGAACTCACCGTCTCCTGGCGATTGGTCCAACGTCACCCAACTGGCTTTCAGACCCAAGGCAGGACTAGAATTCACCATCTCCTGGTGATTGGTCCAAAGTCACCCAACTGGCTTTCATGCCTAAGGCAGGACTAGAACTCACCGTCTTTCCAAAGTCACCCAGCTGGCTTTTATGTCAAAGGCAGGACTAGAACTCACCGTCTCCTGGCGATTGGTCCAAAGTCACCCAACTGGCTTTCAGACCCAAGGCAGGACTAGAATTCACCATCTCCTGGTGATTGGTCCAAAGTCACCCAACTGGCTTTCATGCCTAAGGCAGGACTAGAACTCACCGTCTCTTGGCGATTGGTCCAAAGTCACCCAGCTGGCTTTTATGTCAAAGGCAGGACTAGAACTCACCGTCTCCTGGCGATTGGTCCAAAGTCACCCAACTGGCTTTCAGACCCAAGGCAGGACTAGAATTCACCATCTCCTGGTGATTGGTCCAAAGTCACCCAACTGGCTTTCATGCCTAAGGCAGGACTAGAACTCACTGTCTCCTGGTGATTGGTCCAACGTCACCCAACTGGCTTTCAGGCCCAAGGCAGGACTAGAACTCACCGTCTCCTGGTGATTGGTCCAACGTCACCCAACTGGCTTTCAGGCCCAAGGCAGGACTAGAACTCACTGTCTCCTGGTGATTGGTCCAAAGTCACCCAACTGGCTTTCAGGCCCAAGGCAGGACTAGAACTCACCGTCTCCTGGTGATTGGTCCAAAGTCACCCAACTGGCTTTCATGTCTAAAGCAGGACTAGAACTCCCAGCCTCCTGGATTCAAGCCCGGTGCCTTCAGCACTAGTCCAAACTCGCTCTCTGAATAAACATAATCTTACAATCCCTAATCCTCAAAGAGTCTCTCTTGAATGCTATTCTGGGCTAGAATCAGAGGATGGAGGCTTTTTGCGAATGTGTGAATTACCAGACTTGATCATTACCAATTGAAGGAAGCCTTAATGCCCAATTTATTTGTTCCAGTTCCATAAAATGTAGTTCAGCTGTAATTGCATCTGATGGGAGTATTGTGGCTGGAATTTTAATGTTGGTTATCAATGGGCTGTGATCATGTTTGATTATAATGTGCTTTAATTGCATGCACCTGATTGCTGAGGGCTACTTTGAGGGATTGGCTTGAAAGTTGGCGGAAAACATGCCTATGTTCAAAATCAATGCATTGATGATTAAGCAGCAAAAAAGAATACCTTCGTTAAGACGAGTCGGTTTTTAGCACCACGGAGAGCGCCAAATGAGGTCGCTCACTCCCAGGCTGGATGTGATCTTTGGGGATGAGGACCACAGCTGGGTTAACCCAGATGTTTAAGCAGCTGGCTTTTTAGTCATGCTTTTTGGAATAAGACACAACACAAGAGCCAGTATGCTTTAATGGTTATAGCACCAGGCCAGAAAACAGGAGATGCGAGAATTCTAGTCCCGGTTTAAACATGAAAGAAGACTGAGTGAATTTGGACCAATTTCCAGGAGACTGAGAGTTCTAGTCTCACCTTAGCCATGAAAGCCAGTAGACTGGGGGATTCTGGGAGCTGAAGTCCAATCATCTTAAAGTTGCCCAGGTTGGGAAACCCTGATGTTTTGGATGACATTCTCCACTTGATCCAAGACACAAGGACAAAGACACTGTTATCCGACAGGAAGCTTACACGATTTCTGAGATATGCAGAGAGCCTGCTCTTCAGGCAAAGAATCCATTTTCTCTTCATCCGCAGCCACGTTCTTCTTCCTCGTCTCTTGGCCTTCAGAAGGAGGGTCATGCTGTTTACCCAGACCCTCCACAAAAGGTTGGCATCCATCCTGGCTTTTGATAGACAGCCTTTGTACACATTTGCATTCCCACCAGCTCATGTCAGTCACTTGCAAGCTGTCAAATGTGGTAATGGTTTCTCTAAGCCTCCGTTTCTGTGTACCTGTCAGAATCTAATTATATTTCATTTCTAGTTATCGACTATGGAAAACCCCATTTCTGCCCTCTCTGGATTCTGTCATACGATGAAGGGGAAGGGGGGGGGGTGAACAAAGGGTTTTATGGCTCTCACTTCCTTCATTAAAACTTCAAAGGGACTGAATGTGGATTTCACCAAGAGGACTAACCATAACAATACGGCCATCAGCTTTCATCTACTACTCTCTGAAGACTCCCTTCTGCTGGTCAAGAGGAAAAGGGGGTGGAAATGTAACACCTGGGATTGTCGCTGGAAGGACGGTGGGTGGGGGCTGCTTGGGAACACTTAAAACCTTGAATGGTAGGGGGGCCCTCAGGTCCTGTCTAGAACGCCTGCAACCATCTTCTCTTAATAGATGCCTGTTGGAAGAGATATTCCAAGAGTTCTGTCTTCTTAAAATGCAAAATGGGGTGGGTCCTTACAGTATCTCTCTGTTCATCACCCAACTTTGGCTTCGAATCTGGTGACAGGGCAGCCAGGCGGTTGCTGAAAATGAGAAATCCAGAATGAAAAAATGGCAGTAACCTTAGATAAGTTTGGAGAGGAGAAAAGAAGACCTACCATCTCTCTGTCTCCTATGGTCAAGACCCCTGTTCTAACTGAGACGGGAACGAAAATAAGAAAAAAAAATGTAGTATGTGGTGTGAAATCTACAGGAGAGAGAGAGAGAGAGAGAGAGAGAGAGAGAGAGACAGAGAGAGAGGGAGGGAGGGAGGCAGGGAGGCTCCTAATAGAATCTGTTGTTAGATTGCCTTCTTATCTCCCAGCAAACAGCTGCTTCCTTGGGGCTAACGGTGGACCCTTATCTCTTTGCCACACAGATCAATTCATTTTGCTCATCTTCCTGCTGCATGACTGAATACTAATTTTCAGCTGTTGTTCTCCTTCACTCCTTTGTTGACTTTCTTCTCCCTCTTCTTTCTCGACAAGACTGGGATCAACAGTGGAAGGTGTGGAGGAACTCAAACCACCAAAGAAGATGAACTGTGATTTTGGGAAGGGGATTGATTGATTGACTGATTGCACTAGGCCAGGGGTAGGCAACCTTGGCTCTTTTATGAGTTGAAGTCCACGAGTCATAAAAGAGCCAAGCTTGCCTACCCCTGCACTAGGCCCATGATGCGTAATGGCTGCAGATTAGTCATTTTTTTAGTGTAGAGCAAAGGAGGATGGGAACTGCTTACATTAATTCTACCAGCCATGTTTTAAATGTTATACATCCTCAAGGGCTCCATGCTCCACAGGATCCCAGGGTCTCATTTGTCAGATTGTTACAGGCACTAAGAGCTTTAAAAGGTGTTTCCCCCAGCACCAGAAGATCCATGTGTCATGCCAAGGCGGCCTATGGCTGAACCATCTGGTGAGTTTTACTCAGTGATGGAGCTTTTAATGAGCATGGTGGCAAGACTGCCAAAGGAACGTTCAAATACGAAACAGCACAGTCCATAGCTAGATAGTGAGTGGAACAAGAGTTCAGAAGAGAACGTCCCTCGTGTCTCCAGTGTAAAGAAGAGGGGGGGAGAATTGTATTTTCCGTCTTGCAAGATTCCATCATTGTGGCTTTACAGTAGAATAGGAATAGGAATAAGAATAGGAATAGGAATAGAAATAGGAATAGGAGTAGAAATAGAAATAATAGAAATAGAAATAATAGAAATAAAATAGGTTGGGAGGGACCTTCTAGTCCAGTGGAGGCAAACCTATGGCACGGGGGCCAGAGGTGGCACTCAGAGCCCTCTCTGTGGGCACATGTGCCGTCGCCCCAGTCCTAGGCCTTCAGCTGGGTTTTATAAAACCTTTTCGCTTTAGGCCTCCGCCGCCGTGTGCAAAAAAAAAAGGTTCAATCAGTCAGTCAATTTCAACTTCTCGCAGGAAAAAGAAATGATCTCTCAAAGTTGGAATTGATTGATTGAACTTTTTAGTCCCACCCAGTCTGCCGTTACCACTGCAGCCACGCCCACCCAATGGGCCACACCCACCCAATGGGCCACACCCACCCGGCACCTGACCATACATAAGTGGGTTTTCGGTTGCAGTTTGGGCTCTTGGTCTCTAAAAGGTTTGCCATCTCTGTTCTAGTCCAACCCCCTTACTCAGGCAGGAAATCCTATACTATTCCAGACAAATGCTTGCCCAGTCTCTTTTTAAAAACCTCCAGTGTTAGAGCATCCACAACTTCTGGAAGCACGTTGTTCCACTGATTGTTCTCACTGTCAGGAGATTTCTTAATTCATGAGTTAATTAATTAATTGATTCATTAGTACATCTGGCTGCGATTCCTATCTGGTTTGTTCCACAGGCTCACAGAACCGCAACGGTGCCAACCTGCAATGGAGTGTCTTGAATATGCCGCGTTGCACTTTGTAAAACATGATTTATGACTCAAGGTTGAGGTGTGCGGAGGGAGCCTTGAAGAAAGCGTGCAACGAAGACAAGTTAAATAAAGCACCAGCCTAGCCCTGGAAGGAAAGAAAGGGTGAGGAAGGATGGTCCCAACTGCAGGGCAGAAGGCGGCCAGTTTGGGAATTGGCCACCCTGCCCTATAAATCTTTTAAAACTTTGGGGAAAGTCTCCAGAAATATCTTCCCAAGCCACCAGGTGGCATGGCAAAGCAGTGGACGTCATTAAAAGAAAAAGAAAGAGAGAGAGACGCTAGGCCAGGGGTATGCAACCTTGGCTCTTTTATGACTCGTGGACTTCAACTCCCAGAATTCCTGAGCCAGCTTGGCTGGCTCAGGAATTCTGGGAGTTGAAGTCCACGAGTCATAAAAGAGCCAAGGTTGCCTACCCCTGGGCTAGGCAGCCAAGCCATGCAAAAAAAAAAAAACCACCCATAACTTCATTATCCATCATCCTTCTGATTTTATTAGAATTAAAAGCGCAGAATTGAACATTCCAGCAACCTTGCACTTTTTTCCCCCAATTAAGCCCCTGGTTCAAAGGGGTAGGCAACCTTGGCTCTTTTATGACGCGTAGACTTCAACTCCCAGAATTCCTTGAGCCAGCCTGGTGCATTCTTCTCGCCCTCTCTGATTGGCGGCCCAAGCCAGGCGGCCCCGCCCGCCTCCGCGCGGCAGAAATCCCCGCCCCTCCTTTTTTTTTTCTCCTCCTCCTCCTTTGGGAAACGGAACGCCCCGCCCCAGGCCGCCTGCGCGCGCATCACTCCCCCCCCTCTCCACGACTCCATCGCCATCGTCGCTCCCTTCCCGCCTCTTCTGGCTCCCCCCTCCCTCGGGCGTAGCGTGCGTGGCGCGCGTGGCGCGGCGTTTGTCCCTCGCGCGCCGCCGTAGCCCGGCTCGTCCCATTTTTGTCCTCCGGGTGACCGGAGGGGGCCGCGTGTGGCGAGCGAGCGAGCGAGCGAGGCAGGCGCAAGACGCGCGCTTAACCGCCGCCGGGGCCGCGCTTCTCCTTCGCCTCCCATCCGTCCGTTTCCCCGTCCCTCAGCCATGCTGGCCGCCGCCCGGCTCCTCCGCAGCTGCGCCGCGCCCGCCCTGCGCGGCCTGGCCCTGAGGACGCCCGCTGCGGCAGGTGAGCCCCCCTCCCCCTCGGACCCCCTCCTGACAGAAAACGCGGCCATGGGTGGGGGGCGGGGGTGGGGGGAGGGACTACAGCTCCCATCCTCCCCTGCGGCCCGAAGCCGGGCGTCCCCTGCCCTCCCTCACGTCTCCTGTCAAACCCTGTCAAACCCTGCATGGCGGTACCCAGTTTATCCCCCCCTCCCGCCCAAAAAATCCCCACACCGCCCGCGTGGGCCCTTCTACAGCCCCCCCCCCAAGCACGTATGTGGGGTGGGGGTCCCCGGGGGCCTCCCCACCCCCACCCCGTTTGCGTCCTCTGCGCCCCGCCCGGGCAGGAAGGTGACATTGAGCGGGGACCTGGCTGAGAGGAGGAGGAGGAGGAGGCGAGGCCCGGCTGCGGAAGGGGGAAATCGGGCCTTTCCTGGGTTGGAGGGGCTCGCTCTGGGCGGGTTGAAAGGAAAAGGATGGGGGGGTTGTGGGGGGGGAGAAGAGGACGGCCCCCCCTGATGCTTTAAATCCGTTCAAAGGTGGATTTTCTCTCTCGCCCCCCCCCCGCAAGGTCCCCCGCCTGGTATGGGACGGCCGAGAGCCTTCAAGGGTAGGACTGCCCCGGAGGGGGAGGGGGGGACAGTTGGAGTCATCCTGATGAGATGGTTTTTGTAGAATAAATGTTGGGCGAGGAAGAGTCTGAAGCTTTATGAAGAGGTCAAGGAGCTGAAGGGTGTGAGGACAGCTGCTTTTCCGGCTTTTGGAAAGGGCAGCAGGGTTGGGGCTGAATGGACTTGGGAACCTTCCTTTCTTTCCTTCCTTCCTTCCTTCCTTCCTTCCTTCCTTCCTTCCTTCCTTCCTTCCTTCCTTCCTCTTTCTCATCTTCCCTCCCTCCCTCCTTTCTTCCTTCCTTCTTCTTTCTCATCTTCCTTCCCTCCTTCCTTCCCTCTTTCTTTCTTTCTTTCTTTCTTCTCCATTTTCCTTCCTTCCTCTTTCTCATCTTCCTTCCTTCCCTCCTTCCTTCCTTCTTTCTCTCTTCTCCATTTTCCTTCCTTCCTCTTTCTCATCTTCCTTCCTTACTTCTTTCCTTCCTTCCTTCCTTCTCTTTCTCCTCCATTTTCCTTCCTTACTTCCTCATTCCCTTCCTTCCTCATCTTATTTATTTATTTATGAAACTTATATACCGCTTTAAGTGCAAGCACTCTCTAAGCGGTGTACACCAGTAAGCAATGTATATATATATTTACATTGCCCCCAACAGTCTGGGTCCTCATTTTACCTACCCCGGAAGGATGGAAGGCTGAGTCAACCTTGAGCCGGTGAGATTTGAACCGCTGACCTGCTGAACACAGTCAGCTAAAGTGGCCTGCAGTACTGCACCCTAACTGCTGCGCCACCTCGGCTCTTCCTTCCTCTTTCTCATCTTACTCTTTCCCTTCCTTCCTTCCTTCCTCTTTCTCATCTTCCTTCGTCCCTCCCTCCTTCCCACCTAGCCATGACCTGGGCTCCTATATCTCTGTGTATACTGTATAATGATATACTATATGAGCAAATATTACAGTAAATAGTGACATGGATGAGGTTATGAAGGTCCATCTATTTCTAATCCTATGTGATCATATCCGGAGTTGGGGTTATTTGGGGGGAGGCAATGTCTTCGCTCACTATGAAAATGCATATTATGCTCTTGTTCTGCTTTGCTTGGGTGGACTAAAGCATAATCTCCCTTTTTTCTGGTTTCATGTTTGAAGAAAATCATATGCAGTGCCTTTGACTTTTCTGAAATGAGATGCAAACAGTGACATAAGTTCTGATTTCTACCTATTAATGACATTACTTAAATTCAAGGTATAGCTTCTATTAATAAGCCACACCCAGCAATTATGTACAATGCAACAAAAGCTTAATAACTTTAAGGAAGTTGAACGAACACTCCTTTGTGTTTTTACTTTCCCTTTTATTTTTTTCTTTGACCAGCAACAAGCTTTAGTAGTTGAAGAGCCTGTTCGTTATAACCTCCCTGCCTTCTTGTCTCCTCGTGGACTTTGTACCTTTAGGTCCACGTTCTTGTGTGACTGAACTTTACTTTAGATTTTACCGCGGTATTCCTTTTTGGCTTTTTCCTATTTCAGAGTAGGAATTGGTCTTGGAGTCTGCCTCAAGAATATATGTTATTCCTATTTGTTGCATTCAAGATTTTATTTCACACAGCTGTGCCTTGAAGTTCTTTACATCCCTAGCTAGCATCAGGGCACATTGACCTATGCTAAATAAATAAACAGGGCACATAAGGTATTATTTTCACAGTTGCTATATTGCATTGATGATGTGTTAATATCTCTAAAGGCCCATTTACTTAACAGATGTTGAAAGTTTAATTACTCAGTGTTGGTAGAATTGGGCAGCTGAAGGAAATGAAACCACATGTCAAATACTTAAGGTTTTACATTTTTTTAGCACAATTTATATATGCTCACGAAGACATGCACCTTTTAATAAGAATTTGTTCATTGCAAAAGATGTTACCAGACACTTTTATGTTTGCGGAAGTAAGAAATTAGCGTTGGTCAATCAACATTACAAGGCTTCCTCATTTACTCCTTTCAAGACTACGTTTAGTGAAGTGAAATTCCAAAAATATCAAATAATTTCCCAGTTTCATTATTATTAAATTTACATGCCACGTATATCCCCTATAAGGCTCCTCTGGGTGGCTTACAGATCATAAAAAGATAAAAAGGCAGGTATTTAATTGTCTTGCTGAGTTGAGTTTAATTATTTAAGAAGAATGAAACAAATATACTTTCTGTGGAAAAATTCCAAATTTCAAATAATATACTCGTTTTACATCTATCACGGTTATAACCGTTTACAACCGTGCAGGGCAGTCATTATGGTCATAACTCAAGGATTACCTGCATTTGTAGTGTTGTAGCTTCACCCTTGACAAACCCTCTTTGTTTTTTCCCTTTTTGTTCCAAACCAGTACTACCTCTGCGTTGCTATGCTCACAAAGCAGAGATTACAGATGAAGAACTTGATGCTCGCTGGGTGATGTTCTTCAACAAACCAGATATTGATGACTGGGAACTCAGGAAAGGTAAACACCCACAGGAAGTATCAGTGAAGGGGGAGGGGCTTCTGTGTCCCTGCATTAGAGAAATATTTTCTAAAAATTTGATTGATTTGTGCAACCCAATAGGAATTATATAGATCTCTTTCCTGGAGCTGACAGAATGATCCTAGAGCCAAAATCACAAAGACCTCGAGGTTCCCCCCCCCCCAGTTTGAATAGCTACATTGGTATAGCAAAAACTAACTATGATATATTATGATTAACAATGTTAGACTTTGAGATTGAAGTAAAAGTTAGGGAATTAAGATTTTAACCTGAAATTATGCCTTAGATTTTGGAATAGAATAGAATAGAAATAGAATAGAAATAGAAATAGAAATAATAGAAATAGAAATAGAATAACTGGAAGGGACCCTAGGGGTCTTCTAGTCCAGCCCCCTGCTCAAGCAGGAGAACCTATACCATCTCTGATTGTCTAGTCTTTTCTTAAAAATTTCCAGTGATGGAGCGCCCACGATTTCTAGAGGCAAGCTGTTCCACTGGTTGATTGTCCTCACTGTCAGGAAGTTTCTCCTTAGTTCCAGGTTGCTTCTCTCCTTGATCAGTTTCCAACCATTGTTTCTCGTCCTTCCCTCTGGTGCTTTGGTGAACAACCTGGCCCCCTCTGCCTTATGGCAGCCCCTCAAATACTGGAATGCTGCTATCATGTCTCCCCTATTTCGTCTTTTTTTTAGATTAGCCAAACCCAAGTCCCACTGTCGTTCTTTGTATGTTTTAACCTCCAGGCCTTTGGTTGTCTTAGTTGCTCTTTTCTGATTTTTT